CCCCTAAAGTTTCACAACAGTAAATAATTGATGCATTTAAAGCAAGATAACCTTACCCCTTTGTCAACTGACTTAACGCCCCTAAAGTTTCACAATAGTAAATAGCAAAACTTGCTTATTGTAATAAGAAACAAAATATCTCAGGAAAAAAAAGCAGGATAACTCTTTTTGTCAACTGACTTAATGCCCCTAAAGTTTCACAACAGTAAATAATTGATGCATTTAAAGCAAGATAACCTTACCCTTTGTCAACTGACTTTAACGCCCCTAAAGTTTCACGATAGTAAATAGCAGAACTTGTTTATCGTAATAAGAAACAAAAAAGCAAGATAACTCTCTTTGTCAACTGACTTAACGCCCCTAAAGTTTCACAACAGTAAATAATTGATAACAAAATATCTCAGGAAAAAAAGCAAGATAACCTTACTCTTTGTCAACTGACTTAACACCCTAAAGTTTCACAACAGTAAATAATTGATGCATTTAAAGCAAGATAACTCGTTTATCATGGACTTAACTCAAACAATAGGAAAATAAAATTTTATTGGTTTAAATTAATGCAATCAGAAGCAAAATAACTCTGTCAACTGACTTAACGCCCCTAAAGGTTCACAACAGTAAATAATTGATGAAGGTTACTGTAATCAGAAACAAGATATCTCAGGAAAATAAAAATTTATTTATGCACATTGGGTGAAGGATCAATCATGTAACATTGACGTTTCCTCCTGTTGCATACTAAGCGAATTCGAAATTCGAGGTCAACTTGTTTTTGCATTAATTTCTATATAAATTGTCAAAATTAAACTTGCATTCTTTATCGATATAATTGAAGAAAAAAACGTACAACTATTTCGAGGTCCCAACCAGCACATAATATATTTGAAATACATTATTCAAGTAAACAGACTTGACTACCAAGGGAAGCTAAATTAAGTTTTATTTTCTTTTTTTAATTCATATATTCACCTATGCATTTATTACATAGAATTTGTAAACCAACCTATTTAGTGGATCGAAGACTCGGAGAGACTCTTCACTTATTGATGAAATTATGATAGGTTGGTTGTAATAGTAAATATAATATATATAGTCAAAACTTTAATAGTTATTTTGAGAAATAAACATCGTACTGTCCTTTCTATTATTTCACCATTTACATTACAATAGCTTTTCGAACTGAATGTGCAGACAATTCATATATAGTGTTTTTTGGCATTCAAATCTTTCTAAGTGCGAAAGGAAAGTAATTTTAATTTGATTTATTGTTTTTAAGCAATAATCTTACATGTTACTAATGTTATATTTTCGAGGAAAAATAAAGGTTGCTATATTGGCCGCTCCATGTATTGTACTAAAGAAGGAAAACTTGCAGCTTCTGTTTTTTCATAAAACATCTTTAATTGCCTTGTTATAATTCTGATCGTGAGCCTACCAGGCCGGTTGAGATCGTGAGCCCACCGGGCCGTTCTCAGTTTACTATGCTCTTTCATTTCTTTAAATTGTTTTTCGATTTTATTCTCTTTGAATCTTTCGATTTTATTCTCAATATTCTACAATTCTTGCCCTAAGCCTTTATATTTGTTCGCTTTGCTCTTAAATGATGATTTTTTCTAAAAGAGAAAGACGTCTCTATGATGACATTAAGATTATTCTGATAAGAGCATTTTTTCAATTAAGATCATTTAATAGTTTAACCGAATTTTTATGTAAACCAAAAATAAAAATATGTACCAAGATTTTATTAGAAGATTTTCTTTAAAAGAAAGATATAATTAATAATAAAACAATATTGTTTTTGAAGAATTTAAAAAAAAAGGTTTAAAAATTGTTCAGAGTGTTTCTTGTAAACCGGAGTACTCTCGAAATTTTCATTATATCTACCTAGTGGTGTGAGCGAATTGAGGTAATTAGTTACGACACAGTGTAGTGAAGTTGCAACTTTTTTGTAATATTGACGTAGCTACAGTAGTATGATATTATGTTATAACGTAGATCGTAACTATGATTTATTATGTAGTAGATGGCCTTGATTAAATGACATAAAATAGATTAAATTGATGCAAATTATTAAACTTATTTATAATCAATATGGTCAAAAAAAATATTCACGACAATTGTCAAAACCAAAATTACGTTCAATTAATAGTAAATCCATCGGTCTAATTAACATCAGTATTCTGATCAGAGCAACTTATAAATCTTAAAATCACATTTTTTTTCGATTTTAAAAATGAAATAAATAAATATATTTCTTACAAATTTGTAACCCAAAAATACGATTCTGAATTAAGTAAATGCAATTTTTTTAAGTATAAAAATTTTTATTATTGAATTAAAAGTGAATTTAAAAAAAATATTTATATAAGAAAATTTTCAGAATAATTAGACATTTATGCAAAATTAGAAAATATAGAATCTAAGTTATCGCTAAGTGTATATTCTTGAGGAATAGAAAATATGGCTCTGTTTAACATCATTTCCATATTATCATTGTTAATCAAAGGATTTCTAAACATTAAAACACTTTTTTGATATTCATTAACGATATCTACTTTCTCCTTTAACCAGTTATTTACCGAATCAATAGAAATTTGATTAAATTCCTTCATAAACCTTTCGGTATCTTTTCTAAAATAAAATAGTACATGCGATAAAAAAGAACTATACCGTAAATCAAAACTTAAATAAAATCCTTGAAGTTGATAAAAATCTACTGAATAAATTGCTTTAATTATTTCTTCTTTAATGATTGCTTCTTCACTAGATAATTCTACATTATTAAGTGACCAAGTTTTTTCAAACTCTATACGGCTAAGGTGAATTAAATTAAATTAGTCAAGAAAAAAAAAGTGGAGAAATAAGTCATTTTTCTAATTACCTAATTAAAGCGAAGAGAATACATTGCCTACAAATTTTAATTTTCAATTCATAAATTATTACGGGATCAACTAATACATTTTGGCAATGTAGGCATGTTTTATAATTATATATAAGTTTTATTTCTGGCTTTGATAATCTTTCACATAGTTGAAAAAAGTAATTTCTCCAAAAATTTTGATATTCTTCAAAATGTAATTCCATCTTCATTTTAATCGTTCGATTTACTAATAAAAACCTATAAATATCACATGGAGATAAATTTAAAGTAAGATTTCTGGGGTTTGCAATATTTCGAATGTTGATTTTGATTCGACAATCATCATCGAAAGGCCAGCTTCAATCTCAATAATTTCAACAATTTTCGAAGGGTCAGCGTTAATCGTATCTTAATTAAAACAATTCATATAATTAAACAAAATACTTTATAATACGTAAAGAAAATTAAATATATATCTTTCCTTACCTGATTTATATTTATTTTTATACCAATCTAATATTTTTTGAATGTTATGTAATGCATTTATCATTTCGTGTTTTTTTCTTCCTAATTTAACTTCTTTATTTTCATCTAAATGAATTAACCTGAAATTCTGACTGAGATTATTCATTTTTGCATGTAAATCTTGATTTTCTTTTTTCAAATCGCTGTTTTCTTCTTTCAATTTATTAATTTCATCTTGTAGGTTTTTAATTTCATCTTGTAAGTCTATAACTTCAGATTTAAATTTCTCGATTGTACTTGTTAAATATTGGATTTCAATTTTTCGAGAGGTATACTCGTCTTCACAAATTTCTTTGCGCCTATGTTGACGACCAAGAAGGCCCTCTGTAGCTTTAAGATATGTGAGTGCAGCTTCTACAATGTTATTAGACGAAAGTTGATGGCTTGCTTTTTGGACCAAGGATACGCGAGGCATTCTCTTCTATCCTTAAGTTTGTAGTTTAATCTCGACTTTATAAATAAGATTTTTCAATAAATATTTATTTTTAAATTAAGAAATATTTATTAAAAACCTCTTTATGAATTATTTATTTTCACATGATTATTACATATTTCTTTATAATAAAAAAAAAGAATCGACTGCGACTTCATAGAAAGGCTGTCATTTAATATAAATCAATTGCATGGTAGTAATGATAATTTATATGCATTACTTTTAAAATCGGAATTGAGCACATATTAGTGTTAGAGTTTTACTGCCAAAGTTGCCTTTAATGCGGAATTACAAAGAGGGATGTTAAATGGACCGAATTTTACAATATAATTTATATGTAACTAGCCGGTTTAACTAATAATAAATTAACTGGCTTAACATCTTTAGTATGAAGTATCTTATGATAAGATAATGTTAGATAATGTGATATTTACACATTATTATTAATTAAAGTTACAGTTAAGTTAGTTCTTTTATCTTCGGTTATATGCATATATTATTTATACTATATTTTATATTAATATCATATTTATTTTGTTCCAACAACTGAGTCATGATTTATATATATGAAATTACAAGCGTGATTTATCGAAAATATAAATTTATTGACTGACTCTTGTAGTAGCTCAGAGTAACGTTCCAATCTTCAACGATAAAATTGATAATTTGCTTAATTTTTATTCTTTGCTTTTCTCACGCAATGTCATATACTCAAAGTGAACCACTATATCCAGATTATTTTGATAATTTGAATCTTTCATTGTCCTCATCGACATTGGATTCTTCAAATGGAGATGAATTAAGTTCTTCTCAAGGTAAAAATTTATAATTAAATAGTAATTATAAGAGAGAAATTAATACTTATTTTATATAGATACAATTATATCCGAAGATTCTTCGGCCAATAAATCAACAAATGGATCAGAAATAAGTGTTGTTAGCAAAAATGACATAGACGAGCTTGAACAAGAAGTAAATAGCAAACTGAAAACAAGCATTAATAATGTTAATGATCATTACAAAATTTATAAGTGGCTTTTTGTTATTTCATTTACATTTAATATTTTGTTTCTTTATTATTTTTGTCATGACTATTTGTATATGGAAAATGAAATTGGTTTTTTATATTGTTTTCAAGAAAATTGATCAAAAAATTACGATTTATTTTACGACAAATAGTCATTAATAAGATTTACTGAGAACCAATAAAAAAATATAAATTTTTGGTTGATGGTCTTCTACACATCTTTAAAGTCTTAAAGTCTAATTTATATATATACTTTATATCTTTTCTATGTATATGGCTTTTGTAATATAAATATCATTTTATTGGTTAGCAATTCTATATATAAATGTGTATTTGGATGCACCTTGCCAGAAGCAATAAACCTTTCGATTATGTTATTACTTCCTATGTCAGGCTAATTCATGGGTGTTAACGGGATTTACACGTGACCACAAAAATCACGTAAGGTAGTTTCGTCAATTTTTGTATATAAATAAAGTAACATTCTCATTTTTCAGAATTAACCGCATCATGTAACATAATTATTATTGTTCCGAAGCATAGCTTAGGATATTATACTCCTATTGTCCTAAGCATAGCTTAGGATATTATACTCCTAGACATTTGGATCTAAACAATCACGAGATACACGTCCGTCACGCCGCGTAATTAGCCAATCACAGATAAAAGTTCATACCATATACAATAACACGTCAAATTTCACCATTAGATTTCTGTCAGATTGGCATAAATCAAGTTCTGTATTATCTGTTATCGTTAAATACGCATAATGTAATCCGGTTTTCATTCTTGAAATTGAGATCTTTAAAAACCAGTTTATAAATATATATTGATAAAGTAAATTTTATGAAAATCATGTAATTTCTACAATTTTGTATTATAAACCTGGAATTGAATTTAAAATTAGAGTAATATTTATTAACAGTTGATTGGTGCCAAATTTGGCTTGATATCGATATTGTATAATTCAAAGAGATAATCTCTTAATCAATTACTATGACCCCAACAGAAGAGTTTGTTAGGTCAATATAAATCTTAAAGTACATAAAAACCACACACTTAAATCCATATCAGACTTAATCAGTATATAATAGTGATTTTTTTTACTGAAACACGCAATTCTGAAGCTATAAAGTTTATTTTACATGAAGATTCCGTCAAATCTATTGACTGATTCCTTGTTAGCTTTCCCAATGAGGCTTGTGCAATACCTTAACATGATATTTTTACTGAAACGCACGTGATTCTGAGGCCTGAAAAGTTTATCCTACATGTGATTCTGTCAAAACTATCGAGTCCATTGACTGACCCCTTATACTAATCATTCATCGAATTCCTCCTCTTTTGAAGTTTATGTAATACCTTAACAAAGTAAAATTTCACGCGATACTATTGAAATTAAGGAGTTTGTTGACTGAATCTTGTAGTAGTTCAAAGCTTTTTATAATAATTTTTTTTACTAGAATCGAAGTAAAATCTTACACGATTCTGAAGAAAAAATAGATCATTGTACATGTGTAAATATTTAATCTTCAAATTATTTGCCAAAACTGGTTCTCGCTGAGAATATATAAATCTGTTCATAAATTACTTCGGTTTTTTCTTACTACTTGAGAATCTTTTATTTTAGTAAAAATGTCTCAAACCTCTCTATTTAGAACAGATGACAACTGGGAATTTACTCCAGGATGCCAATGTGAGCGTTGTTTAGAACACAGTAATATTTTACCGCAATATTTATCACCAAATAGACAGAATAGTTTTGAAATTATTTCTTGTCAAAATCCTTCTTATCAACATTCTCAGCATCATCTATTACACCAAAATAATGTCCAAAACCACCAACGTAATTTCTATCACCCACCACATTTTGAACAGCATCAACTTCTTTGTCAACATCCTGTTTTCCAAAATCAGCAATTGCAACCTAATATTCAGTATCAACCTTTGCAACCTAATCCAAATAACTATAATGAGCATCCCCAAATAATTAATAACCACTCTATTGATCAAGTAATCAATGTTATTCTCCAGATCAAGGCTATAATTGAAAATAACAACAACCTAAACCTGTCATCATCTCAAGCACCACTTACTAATGTTGTCCAAAATTCTTTGTCTACAAGTCAAGGTACACAAACTAACTTCAATCAAAATTGTGCGGATACACTTGCGGATATACGTGCAGATATACGTGCAGATACATTTACTCATCCAAAGCTTCGTACTTTTATATTCATTTTTATGTGTTTTATAGTAATATTTTTATTCATAGCAATTTCTTCTAATATAAATAATCAAATTAAAATTTTGCAATCTGTTTTTGGTACAAACGGAGATTTTTTCTTCCACGTACAAGTAATAAATCAATTTGCTTCATTGATTAATTCAATTTATACTGTAGTCAACTATTTTACAAATGTATTTAGACGCATTAAAGTAGGCATTTGATAGATTAATTTTTCAAGTTTTCAATTTTTTTGATAAATATTTGTTTTATAATAAAGGTTTTTTTCTCTACATTTTTATATTACTAAAAAAATTATTTTGATCGTGAAGTAATGATGCCAAATTACGATTAAAAAATTATAATACATACATTATAAAGGAGTTTACATCATCTGTTATATTAATTATTTAGAATAAGTTCTTGAAGGATTATGAAAATTACTCCGATCTTAGCAGCTTCGATTACTTCTTGAGTTGAAATTGTTTATTATCACTTCTTGGATATTCAATAATTTTAACTTTTGTATGAGTAAATACTATTGCTGTAAGTGTAATTCATCCGGCTTGCATTAATTGATAATTATTGCTGAAAAAATTGATAATAAGATTCATTTTGTAAGTTGATTGACTAAGAATTAAAAGCTATATTGAATAAGTTTGTAGTTCATGTTGTTACATGATAATTTTTTGAATAAAGATTATATGGAGGGTGCCAGTAGAAACCAAGCAAATTGTTTCTAAGTAAATTTTTTTCAACTTTAAAGTAAAATATCTCAACAATTATTAATCTTAACTTGATAGAAATTTTTTTATTTTAATTCTATGTAGTTATAGAATTAAAATAAAAAAAATTTTACCAAGTTTGGATTAATAATTGTTGAGATATTTTAATTTAAAATTTTAAAAAAACTCACTAAAAACAATTTGCTTGGTTTCTACTGGCACCCCCATATATCTGTTTTTTGACCCTAAATTTGCTAAAAAAATTCTTGGATTTTCCATCAAAAAAAATTATAATAGTAAAATGATGCATCAACTTTTCATACATTTATCGAATGAAGTCATTGTAAAAATATTTGAATGCCTTAGAATGAGTACAAAGATCACAATCGATTTTATTCGACTAACCGATTTAATTGTAGGAAAAAAAGCTTAATCTCAAATATTACTACCAAAATAGTTAGGCGAGAAACACAAGCTGGAACAAAACTGGTAGTTAGAAAAAACTCGAAACCTCAACAAAACAAATTGAGCACGTTTTAGGCTTTTGATAATAAAATCTGCTTTGCCTTGTCACTTAATAAAAGATTTGTTAAATTTTAAACAAAGAAGTATTGGTTTACTTTATCTGTTATATTAATTTTTAAGGTTGTCACTAAAATTAACTTATGAAGAATAATTAAATTTGCTCTTTACAATAATAAAAGAGCACTTTTGCGTAGTAAATTAATG